ATATAGAATGGTTATGTTACTTATCCTCATTATGGTCACCTTCTTTTGGACTGCGGTTCAACAACTTCTCCCTACTTTCAATCTGTCAATCAAGCATAAATAGTTCTTACTCAACTTTTATCACCTCTCTTCACATTCAATGTATTTGCTAATCTATTAATTTCAATAGCCTCTCTTGTATTTCTTTTAGCCACAAACGTACCATAATCAGCAAACCTATTAGTTTGAGACCACTCTATTTCATGTCCAGTTTCTACTGTGTTCGGACACTTCTGACCGTTGGACCCGGCTTCCTTTACATGCATTTTTGTGTTCTAATTTTCGTCGAATAGGCCGGCATGTCTGACCAACATAACATCGACCACTTGACCAAACAATCTTGTAGCAGCCGGATCTCGATAATGGGTCATACTTCTCTCTAAAAGATGGCATAACAGAAGAAAGTGTGAGGAGTTCTATGAACACTGCTTTTATATCCCCCTTTCTTTCTAATTCGCCTATCTTTTTTGAGAGAAGGCATGACGACAAAATTAGGACATGGGAAAAGGTCTCAGTCTTTCTATCTCCGTCTAAAAATTTATTCCTCGGTAGAGGAATATTATTCTCAATAAGGCCTAAAGTATAATTATTTTCCAGGAATAAATTTGTCAGTCGTTCCAACTCTTCAGTCAAAATGTTTGCTATCTGCTAGCCTCATAATTCTAATACTCATTGACTACATCGGATTTTTAGAAGTGGGTTGACCTCCTTATCGCAACTTGGTCTGATTTTAGCACCTAGTCCGAAATCATCTGCCGTAATAGTTGCAATGATTCCCAGCATCAGACAGTCGACTTGGTACATTCTTAGTCGTTTCGCCGGCATCGTAGTCGGCATCATCAATCAGTGCTGCTATTTTCCGCACCAAGCTACGAATTCGTCAAAGAGACAAGAGTTGACGAGTTACTAGTTTGGTGCGGAGAATGGCAACACTCACTGTTGATGCCAGCTATGATGCAGGTGAAACGCTTGAGAACTTATCAAATCCACTGTCTGATGCTGGGAATCATGACAACTACTATGGCAGACGACTTCTGACTAGGTACGTTCTACTAAGTCACCCTGACAACAAGACCAAGTTGCGACAACGAGGTCAACCCACTTCTATAAATCGAAAAAAGACTGCGACCATAACATAGGCCACAATATCTTGGTCTTCATATCTTGAATGAAACAGTTTTTGCTCACGATCTAGTGGTAGTCTCGAAATCCTATGTAAAAACGATTAAAATAGACCACTATTTATCATGCAAAAAAATCTCTATCTACAGCATTTGCAGGAAGGCTAATGAATTTTCTTGGCTCGTTATCTTAAGGATGGCTGTAAGTATGATTGTGGCCAAGCGACAAGTGACCAAGAAGAATCTATTGTCGTTTTCAGGTGGGATCAACTTTCGAATCTCTTCTTTATACATTTTCACTCGAAATGGAAATGGGTTCAGAAATTAAAAAATCCCGAAAGATTCTTCGAAACGCACAGCTTATTCGCAATTTACAACCATTTTACCGGCCGGTGTCATTTCGCCTCTCGTCTATCCTCTCTCCCCTCCTCCGGCTACCAGCACTTACGGTTCACACTCATCAGATGTTTGTTTCTAAAGTGTATCTCTTGCCTGGGATACTCATGCAAGGGATACTCTGTCGAGCCTAGGACAGACACATTTTTAGTTGTGAAGAGTGGTTTTTGTTGCAAAAGGAAATATGTCAAAAGAAGAGGCATAATTGTGGGGTAATTGAACAAAAAGTCCCAAATAACACACTTGCCTAGCGCACATCTTGCCACTGGGCGTCGCTTAGCCATCCTGGCAACCGGGCAAATCCCCGATCCTGCCTGTGACAATAGCATTTCCACCCTCATCACACTTTGTGATGAGTAGTAGTTACTGGCCAAGACAGAAGAGGCCAGCAGAAGACGGCTTCTCCTAAAATGGCTACCAACCGGGCTACCTGGGCTGGCCCAGAGGGAAAGTAGATCTCGTGTCGAGACGTCCAGGGGTCGTTGTTGTCAGGCGAGACCACGTTTGTCCCGGAACGTAATGACGGTGCTAAAGTATAAGTACCATGAGTCCTTCTTCCAAGGGGACAATAGAGCATGAACTGTCCGTTCATCACTGCTCTTGTTTCTTGCTGACTTCAGGTCGCCGGATCCTCCTCCTTTTTCACTTCCTACATGAAGGCTGGCCACGACTTGGCCATCACGGAAACCCACCCTCTCTCAAATGGCCTCGATGTCTGTCTCTGACCCACTCTTGTTGCCGTGGCCATTCTCATCAGACTGGGGAAAAATAGGTGAAATTTGAGTCTAATCATATCCATTGCCTTCTGGCAGTGTCATTCAAGCCTTTACTCCCACGTGACTAGTTGTTGTCTCGATTACTTCCAAATGCTGCAACGACAACTTTTTTGGGGGAGCAGTAAGAGGGCGATAGAGAACAGAGGGGGGACACTTTCACATGCAAGTGTGCCGGGTGTGTGTGGAACAGGTCGTCGTCTTACCTCGGTTGACAACGGGGAGCATCGGTGAAGCTTGGCGGCGCATTGGTCCAGCGCAAGGTTTCTGAAGTCGAACTCGAAGAAGACCCTGAAGATGGAGGCAGGAAGAAAAGGGGAAATTGCTCATTTTAATGGATTCAACTGATTCGAGGGAACAATAAGTGTCGTCAACGGCGGGTCCAAATAACAGGAATAGAGCAGGCCTGTGAAGGGGGTCAGAAGATCTTCGACAAACCGGCCTTCATGGGCTCAAGCCCTTCACGACACAACCTGTACCACGGCAGAGTTGGGACGGAAACGGTGTTTTTTGTCAAAAACTCGACAGCGCGGCCCCGCCTGCATTTTGCCGAGTCGTCCATGTTGGACGGAAGAGGCGCCAAATTTTACAGGTTATGGAATAAAAAAATGGCCGAAAACTTGCTTTTGAAGATGTTCTTAATGGTAAAATGTAAATCGTCTTTGCATAATTTAAAAGAAAAGTCGCTTCGAAGAAAGTCGTGAAGTCGAAAACATTTGGACTGTGCAAACAACTCCTCGATTTCCATAAATCCAGGCTAAATTTACTTCGGTCTCGGCGTATCTGACATCGTCAGAGCAAGGAAGCATACTTGTGGAAAAGCCACAACAATTTACTAAACTATGAGAAAAGGTGGCCGGCTGCAAGCATATTCACTTTTTATGCCTACTTATGCGTTTTTAATGCGGCATCGCATGATTTGTTTGCCTACTTCGCAATTATCCTACATTCCTAAAACGGAAGTGAATGCAGTCCAAATGATATTTCTTTGTTTAAAAAACTTTTCAATAAGGGCAGATTTGTGTTATCTATTGGGACAACTTTCAGTCTCAGCAAGACCCATTTCCTCACTCGAAATTCTGCTACTTGGCATCAAATTCGGAAATTGCAAAACTCAACGAAGGGCTGCTGGTAGAGGCTTGCATAGAAATCTGCCTTATCAACAGACAGCCTCCTTACTTCCCCATGGATAGAGTAGCTATCAGTTGTGCATATATTCAAGTGATAAATAATTATATTATCCGAAAATAAATTGCTTATATTCATAAACATTAAAACTCGACTTTTCGTATCAACACAAAAGTTAGTCGCAAGGAATCTGTGCTAAGCTTTTGTCTGTCATGTGACAGACATCTCTAGGACAACAAAAAACGCCATATGAATTGGTTGGCTATGCATATTCCAGATGTTTAGTTGATTTAAAGAAAATGGATACGGTCGTAGCTATTTCTTATCCCAAATGAAGCAGCTTAAAATC